CTTATCAAACGCTGTGTCATGACAAGGATGCAACAATTTCCAAGCAGGCACAGCAAATATCAAACTCTTGTTAACTCTTAGAACAACAGTTCTGCTTCCCCAATGGGTCCAGCAACCATCTATGGCATTCTTTAAATGCTTGTTTTAATTTATTATTAATATTAAAAGAAAGAACCTCACACACTTCAGTGTATGACTAGATTTGTGCCGCAATATAGCCTCCTATCTTTGCTCCACGCGGAGGCCTCTTGTTGACTGGGATTCAAGGATGCTCTGTAGAGCACTGCCCCAGGGTGGTCAAAAGAGTACACAATACCGGAATGCCATTTCAGTGTAGAGCAACACCCCGTGGAGAACATCTCTCTTGCCTCAGGGCCAGTGAGAAGGGCAAAGAGGCCACCTTATAAAGCAATGCTGACTTTCAGCAGCTGAACTTCAAACCACATTTGAAAATCAGTAAACTTGTCTGTGCGATGCTGCTCTTCAGGGGGGGCAGGAGGGGGAGAATCTAAAGGGAAAGTGTACAAGCTCTTTTATGTGATGACATGAAGACAGTTCTGCTTTGATTTTCAAAGGCTTCCTTTCTTTGCTTCATTTATAATCGTGTAATACTGAACTTTTATGTTTCTGTGCCCATGGATTTCTTTTAAGGGTATCTTTGATCCCACCAGCCTACCCACCAGTGAAGAGCTGAAGCTCACCCATCCTGAAAAAGTTATGCTGCCTGTGGAACTTTAAAAAAAACAAATGTAAATACAGCAGCCAACTGGCTTCTTTTTATTGTGAAGTGTACTTTGCTGGCTGTTGTGAAGGAGACTGGAAAAAAAGCATAGTCACTCCATCTGCAGAGGTCAGTGCTCTGATGCTTGCCTCTGATTCTAAGAGGTGCAGATCCAGCTTGGGTTCATGGATGTGGTAACTTGAACCATTATAACCCTCCCCTCTTTATGAACCAGCCTCAAGTGGGGAGCTCTTAGTTACTCTGGGTGAGATGGCAACAGTTGAACCAGGGTCACATAGTCTAATCTGACAAGAACTTCCACCAGGCAAGAAACGCACACCAGGAATCCTGGCCAGGAACCAGAAAATCATTGCCATCAGATTGATGTGAGCAGTTTGAAATTGCAGTTGAAGGTTGCAATTTGAAATTAGGTAAAGTTCCAAAAATCTACTTCAAGGATAGCCAAAGTTCTAAGGATGAGGAGAAGTTTACATTTTAATGCAAACTGACCCAATTCGTGCTTCTAGGTCCATTCCATGAACTAAAATGTTGCCACCCCTTCTCAATTTGCACTTCTCTGAATTTTGCAATGTCCTTCTCCGACCAAAAATGTGTGTATCAAGCAAATTGCATGTAAATATTAGGAGAAATGTGCGAATCCTCTTAAAACAGTTCTTTTAGAAATCACAAACAGATGTAGAAATAGGTTGAACTGAAAAGACTGATGGGGAAAAGACAGATTTTTTCAATTGCTACTTCAGGCACACCTGGTGGGATGGTTGTTGTTGTTGTTATTGATGATGATGATGATTTTGTTAAGCCAACTGTCATGGCATGTCATAAACTACTTCTGAACAACCTGGTAGCATCTCAAGAGTCATCAAATCTTAATGCTATCAAGGTTCCACAAGCCATATCTATATCCAACCCATTTTTATGTATGGAGGAATTCAACCCCACACTAATTTGATTGCTTTGTCAGGGCAAACATCTCCCCTCCCCTCATGACACCCCCCCAGACAATTGGGGGAGGAAAGGGGGAAAGTCCCTCAGGCTCCTGCTAGTGCAACTAGTTACTTGAATCCAGCCCTTAGTAAGTTCCCAGGGCAACTTACTTTACCAACCCTTCTTGCAGGTAGGGCAGTTTCCCTCCAAATTTTGCCTGCATTTAAAAGGAGAAGCAAGAGGAAGGGAGACAGTGCTGAGCAAGACAGGTGAAGCAGAGAGAAGTGTTTTGGGCACCAGCAGGTCGGGTTGCCATCTTCTTTATGGGCAGAGGGGATGTCCCTTTCATTAGCTGGCTGATGAGCAGAAGAAATTCAGCGTGCACCGAACTCCCCTCACTGTATCTTCGTGACAGAAAAAGCATGAAGTCTTGTCTGTTCATACGGAGGAAGTATCCATAAAAAGAGAGAAAACCTACAACAGAATACTCATTCAGGACTGAGGTTCAGAGTGGTTAATGTGGTTTCCACATCAGCCATCTGGTCAGCCACAGCCTAAGATATCATGCAAATCAACAGACAAAGCTCAATCCTGATTCAGCACTTCTACAGCTAACCTTTCCGCAGACGTTGCATCTGCCTAGAGTGTCTCCAACCACCAAGCACCCTGACAGGTCCTGCAGGGTCTAGCAGCTGGCAAATATGTTATCAGTTACATTTCCCATATCCACAAAGGCATTTATTCTAGGTGAGAGAGGAAAAAGCTAGGATGCTTGCAAGTGTAGCCTACACCACATATCTTTTATGAATGCCCTGGGCTTTAGCAACATTTTCTTCCTCCAGCCAAGCAAGGTTCATGGCTCTGAATCAAATAGCATGCTGCTAGATTCCATTCATAAAGACTGATAGCATTCATTGCAGGAAAAATGGCTTATCCCCTTAGGAAGTAACCCTGTCAACCTTATACAGGTGCAATAAATACGAGGATTAGAGGGTTGTAGGGGACCATTCAGAGAGGACGGCTTTACAATGTAAGGCAATGGTTTAGAGTAGCATTTTACTCAAAGGACTTGTCAGAAATCTTTTGCCTGGGTTTTAGAAAATAGCTCCAATCTACAAGTCAATCCTCCTCAGCCTTTTGAAGGACGCTGCCTCGAATGTGTATTGGCAGAATCCTGGAGGCTCACTCATAGAGATTTGCAATTTAATGGTGATTCCAAAATCATTATCACATCCTCTTAGTTTCATAAATTACATGTTTCGTGACAGTCCACAGGACATGGAGGACAACAAGCATAGGAAAGAGCATACACAGTAATAGTGTTTAGAGTGGTTGATCACTCATCAATCAACAACGCCGTGTGTCAGAAGTTAATGATGTCGTTACACTGTGTGTTGCCTTTTTGACATTTTGGACCACAGCCCAGTTCTTCCGGTGCTGGATAACTCGCAGCATGATCTTATGCTGAACCCTTTGGGGCTTAAATGTGAATCAGAGGTGGCAGCAAATTCCACAGGGATTGGATTTTCAGCCCAGGTTTGCATTGCCTGCCACATGCTGATCAATTTCCGACTATACTGGGTTAGGCTACACTGGGTCTCATTTCAATCAAAAATGGATCTACACGGATTCCTTTGATGCTGAACAGGTAGGAGCAGCAAAAAAAAGCTACTTTATGCTGTGGGAGACCACCTCTCTCAGTATTGTTTACACTGACTGGCGGAGGCTCTCCAGGGTTCCAAGTCGGGAGTCTCTCCCAGTCGAACCTGGAGATGGCAAGAATTGAACTTGGAACCTTCTGCATACAAAGCAGATGTTGCACCCCTGAGTTGTGTGTGTGTTGGAGCCTGGGGGCTTCAGTTGCTATTGCAGGCATCAATGGGACCAGTGGGAGCTTTTCCATATCCTTTCACTTACCTGAGACACAGCAGTGCTTTCTTTTCCACTGAATTAAAATATTATTTTAAAAGGGCAGAGGAGGGGCTGAAGCCATGAATGCTGCTGCATATGCACTCACACATAGTACTTTCAGGGTAGCTGAGAACTATGGTTTCTGGGATGCTGGGGAACAATAAATTCCCCCTAATACCACCAGAAAGTTTGTAGCTTGACTATGGTCTCTTAATTAGGTTATTGAACCCTACTAAAGAACCCTAAGGGTGGCACTTTGGTCTAAACCACTGAGCCTAGGGCTTGCCGATCAGAAGGTTGGCGGTTCGAATCCCTGCAATGGGGTGAGCTCCTGTTGCTCAATCCCTACTCCTACCAACCTAACAATTCGAAAGCACGTCAAAGTGCAAGTACATAAATAGGTACCGCTCCAGTGGGAAGGTAAACGGCATTTCTGTGCGCTGCTCTGGTTCGCCAGAAGCAGCTTAGTCATGCTGGCCACATGACCCAGAAGCTGTACTCCGACTCCCTCAGCCAATAAAGCGAGATGAGTGCCACAACCCCAGAGTCATCCACGACTGGACCTAACGGTCAGGGGGTCCCTTTACCTTAAGAACCCTACAAGAAGAATTTGAGGGACAATACACATAATGTTGGTTATTCTTTTTGACACCGACAGCTACCACCTTCCTGGCCAAAAATGCCATTTTAGTGAGATATTTTTTTAAAAGTCTCAGACAAGTACCATTGCTTATGTATTGGACTATAATAATAGAGATCACTTTGAGAATTCTCTGACCTTCTTTCCAAAAGCTTCAAGCTCTTGCTACTTTCTTTTTGTTATTTTAATCAGGTTTTGCACATTATTTGTAACACTGTATTTCTAACCCAGACTCTGCTGGGAACACACCATTCCTGGAGCAATGAACAAATTGTATCATTGAAGTTATGCGAGGGGAGGGAAACTTTGTTAATAATGTTTTACTTTGAAAACAGTTCACACCAGATGCTGCTTGTATCCCTTTCATTTCTTTTGTCATATCACTTGAAAAGTGGCTTATGGCTCTTTGTTCTTATCTCTTTTTTTATTTATTGTATTCCAAAAAAGAGAGAGGGGGGAAAACTTGCAAAGGACAAATTTTCAGGGAACACGGCCACAAATCAACTGGCAGAAATTTGATGGAATCATAGTTTAAGGCATTGCATCCCATCACAGCAGCGAACATGGCAGAAAGGTGCTTTGATCTAATTTTTCCACTTGTTTATATCTGTGGCAGGGCTTAGCTACACCACAGTGTATAAGAATGAATTCTAGATATGGCTGGAGACATGCCCTATTCAAACTGATTCTTACCTCAGCTATGATTCTGATAGAAACCACACCTCCTGCTCTGCAATTAGCAGAACAGATCCCATTGGTGCCCTGCAATGAACTTAGCACTGTGGAGGACCATAGCTCAATGGTGGAGCATCTGCCTTGCTTGCAGAAGATCCCAGCTCCAATCCCTGGCATTTCCAGGTAGGGCCAGGTGAGTTTCCGGCCTGAAAACCTGTACAGCCACTGCCAGCCAGTGTAGACAATATTGCCAGAGCTGGAGTCAGGGATAGGTCAGCAATAAAACAATTAATCACCAGAAGCCAATGAAGTTAATTCTTTATTCGAGGAAACAACCACAGCTCAGGCCTAGTAGTCTCAGCAACTCTTTCCAGGAGGTCATGCCCCAATGAACCAATTGCTAGGACTGAAGGCCCCTGCCTTTCCTTCATTCTCTAAGGCTCCCCCCACCCACCCACATACCCACATACCCAAACACCGGTTCCTTCCCCAGCAGCCTAAGGCTTCGCCTGCTTGCCTATCATTGCTCCACCCTCTTCATCTCTCTATGCATTCTGGGAGATCAGGGGGAGGAGAGCTAGTCACAGCAGGAGGGAAGATTTCCTGTCTTCTTCCACTCAGCCTCTTGATCCCCCTCCTCACCAACCTCTGAGTCTGCACTGCTCTCCACCACAGCCTCTTCCTGCTCACTATGCCCTGTTGCTTCTTCTGCTCCCAACACCTCCTCCACCCAGTCTATTCCTTCTCCCTCTGACCACTCAATGGCATCCCACCACTAATCCACTGGCTCTGAGCTTTTTCCCTTGGGGGTTCCCTGGGGATTTCACCGGCTTGTGTCTCCCACCACTCCTCTGCATCTAGCCAGTCCATGACAAATATTGAACTGGGTAGGGCCAATGGACTGACACATTATAAAGTGGCTTCCTATTTTCAATTAGTCCCAAGTTCAAACCGACTTCTGAGGGCTCTTTAGGAAGGAAAGAATGAATTTGGATTCAAAGAGGTCCAAAAGCATCCACAAAGCACTTTGTGCATACTCATGGTTAGGAAGCATGACTTCCTGTGCAGCTATACCTCTTCATGTCACATCAAAAGTTGTGTTGGTCCTCGATATTCAGGAGATAGAAAGGGAGGACTCAGAAGTCTCTTCAGATCTCAGCCTCTCTGTACAAAGGAATGTTCACAGAATACAGTGAAAGCATCAGTATGAAGAAGAATGAACAGAGAATCAGCTCTCACTGAGAGTGCAATTATCACAAAAATATTCTGTGCTACATTTTATGTTTGTTGAATAGGTAGAAAATCCTAAAACCATTGCAATGATGTAATCTTCTGTTTTATAAACTGCCTCACCTCTAACAAGTAGCTAAGGAAAGCATGATGTTTGAGGAGCCCTTTTCTGTTTTCCAAGGACACAGATGGAAGAAGCAGTTTGTGGGTATTGCTTAGGCTTCGCAGGAGGAGGAGATAAGGTGAAGTTTCATGAATCCTAAGTGAATCTGTTCAGGGGTAGGTAGGCGGATATGAAACCACAATCACTCCTGCAGTTACTGCGGCGCTTGTATTCCCAGGAAAGCATCTCAGAAATTACTCTTATTTCCTGCTCAAACTTGATGCCGGTAGAATCAGCATGTGCCAAAACAATTGGTAAATGATAGCATCCAATTTTTAAACAGCAACAACACTGGTTTTAAAATATGGGCAACTCCACACTTTACATGCGAGGCTAACATGGAAATATAGGTACATTCTTCAGAGATCCTTTGAGGTGACAGCTCCCTTTTGAGTGTTCACTCCTAGGCCAGATTTGCTTTCTCATGATTTTCAATACATCAGGTTGGTCACTGTGAGATTGTTGGACAAGATGGACCATTGGCCTGATCCAACAAAGCTCTTATGTTCTAAGAATGCCAGACCTTATTTTGAGCTGTATTTCAGTGCATGTTTTGCTATAGCAGGAGTGCATAACCTCAGGACAAGAAGTCAAAATTTGGTACTCTCTTTCCGCCCCTCTCCCCAGACCATATCCCATCACAAGCCACACACCTTAGTGGTCTTGCTTCACACTCTCCTAGACTGGAATGTGTCCTTGAGCCCTGAGATGCCTCTTGCTTCCCTGGATGGCTGACAGAGAAGGATGTGAGAGTGTATCAAGAAATGTCTACTGTACAAAGATAAACATCCATCTTCATAGCTCTGCCCACTTTGGCCTTGGATTCCCCACCTAACGCTGGCATGTGGCCCCTGGAAGCTTGCCCAGAAAGGAATGCAGCTCTCATGTTGGAAAAGGTTCCCTACTCCTGTGCTATAGCTTCATGTTATTCTTGAGGAAGAAAGGAAAAATGTGACACAGAGCTTATGGGATGGGGGAAGGCTAGAGAAGCACTTGCTCAGTAATGCAAGTTCACTGGTGATAAGCGGAAAGGAGCTGCTGAAGGAAGCTGCCTTCTTTGGCTGTAATTTCAGATCAAAAGAGGGGAAATTCCATAAACTGACTCTGGCTTTCATGCAAGATGTTCTTATTGCTGCTTAAGTACTTCAGTGTGAGAGGAGGGGTGGGGAGTCGCAGAAAGCTTTTCACTCCCCACTCGCATTGGGGTTTTGGTTGCTCCAAGGGGAAGATACTTTATCTCCCCTGTGCTTTAATGGTTCTGTAGCCCAGGTAGGATGGCTGCTCTGCAGTTTCAGTTATTGTTCTGTTCAAAGCCACAGGGCTTGTATTCAGCCTCTGAAATTAAAGTTCTGCCTTGAAGATTCAGGAAATAGCAGTCTGCTCTTCCACATCACTTTTGATGTTTCTCCACACTCAAGGAGAGCTTTCACCTTTTATATGCCAAAAAAAACCCCAACAATATGAACAACAACTGAAGTAGTCCTTCTAATTCTCAAAGTCAGCCAGGGGTTGGGGAAGGAGAGAGATTGTGCTTATAGTACTTCGCATAATTCAGCACTCATCTTTTTCTTGCTCATTGCACTCTGAATAACTTCAGTCATTGTCTTAATGTTACAGGCTTTGTTTTTAACCAGGCCTAAGGAAACAGTATCTCTGCCGTCAGATGAGATTGAAGTGGGTTGGTACAGGAGAGACCAGGGGGCAGCATTGTGGAGATGCCATTGCCAATGCATGACATTCTTTTTAAATTAATTAATTAATTAATTAATTAATTAATTAATATCTGCCTACCTCTGGTTTCTGACTGTAGCAAGAAACTGCAAAATCTGCAGTCAGGCTAGGTGGCTATCAGACGCTGGCCAAAAGCTCAATATGTTATTGAATAACAACAATATTAGGCCCTGTTTTGGGAAGAGAATATAGAGCTGTAACTCAGTGGTAAGGCACATGCTTTGCAGGTTCAACCTCTGGCAGCTTCAGATGGGCCATAAAAGACTCCTCTCTGGAATTCTAAAAAGCTGTTGCCAGTCAGTGTTGACAATGCTGAGTTAGATCCAATAGTCTGATGTGGGTTATCTAAGGCAGCTTGCTATGCTGGTTATCTAAGGCAGCTAGAGATCATGCAGGAAAGAAAAGGCGAGCATCTCTATCTGCAGAATATAATAGGCCCATCATATTCTATCCATGTCAGGGGCTTGGCTGAATCGGGTGCAGAAGGCTACACTGACTCTGCAGAGGGGGTAAGGCAGGCACAAACAGAGCAGCCTTTGTCAGAGGAGGAAGAGGATAGCTGCCCCTCCTTCCTGTCACGTTCCCAGCAGAGAAAGCAGTAAAATCAGGAGAGTCTCAGTTGGAGGAGGAAATAGACAGGTCTGAGATAGTTGCTGAGCAACCAGGAGGGGGGGGGAGTTTGGAGGGCTCTTTTTTTGAGAGCGGGGGATGCCCCCCTCCTCTTGGACTAGGAGGTACGAATGGGTTAAGGAGCAACGGAAGCACAGGGGAGGGAGCACAGAGAATTGGCGTGCTTCCTGTTGCAGGGGAGAAGACTCAGAGTGAACAACTGGTTCCTTGAGAGGGGTTGGCACCATGCCTCTCTCCATGTGTTATTGCAAATAAATGGCTATAAACCTGCCAGACACTCATTAATTCTTATCTGAACTTCAGTGCCCGCCTGTAGACCTGACAGTCCACCTCTTCTATGAGTTTCAAAGGTGGCAGCACCCATTGTTTCCCAAGACAGACAGGTGCCAACTAGTTTGATGTGGCTTGCTAGGCTCATTTGCACCTTCACCAAAGTTTAATGCACTGTGGGACAGGAAAAGCACACTTATGTTCAATAGGCATATTGATTCAATGGTTGCCACTCAAGTGGTACATTCATGTGTATTCGCCACATGCCATACACACAAATAACTCGTTTACACATTATGGCATATGCACAGCATATTTTAATTTTTTTTTAAAAAAAAATCTATTCCTGTTTTATGTACATTGCCCTGGAGTCCATGCTTGAATGATAATGCAGGTTGGACATTTTGAAAATTAGAACAGAAACTTTTCAAATAAGAATAGGGGGGGAAACCAGCATTTTAAAAAAAGATTAACAACTCAAACATTGCCAGTCATTTCCAATAAAATTCTAAGGATATCCCTGAAACAAAACACCAACTGTAAAATTAATATATTTCTTTTAAATGTCCGTATATTTGTAGGGGCATCTTCCCATAAAATGCAGGTTGGTCTTCTATGTTAATTATTCAGCTAAAGTTCCCATTCAGAATTTAATTTTTATTAATGGTGGCACTTATTACTATGGACAAAAACACTCCATTTAGTTAAAGTTAAGGTCATGCTGTCATAAGCAGAAAAATATATTTAAAAACCATAAACTTAACAATGAACAAGCCAAGGGTGTATGTGCCTGTGTGGAAGAGGTGGAGGAGAGCTGAAATTGTCATGACAAACAGCCTCCAAAACAATGCAGGCTTGCTAATGTAGCACACAGCAGCAAAAGGAAGTGTGTAGGCACAAAGCGGAGGGCTGTAAATACTCAGGGCCTGTGCTTGAAATTCATCTTAAAAACAAAACACTTCATCACTGTGGTCTGTATTTTCCAGCCCCTGTTTGTGGCAAGAAGCCACGCTTGACAGAAAAATAATAGTTTTGGCTACAGAGATGTAAAACTCTCTGACATGTTGTTATGACTGGGGATCCAGGGCATCTGGGTGATGTACATTCTTAGTTCCATTTTGCAAAGTTGCCTTGTAAGTTAAATCCAAGATATAGAAC